TTGGTGATTGCTGAGTTCTGCTATCATTGTGTTGAATATCCAAGCATGAGTGTCGTTTTGATGGTGATGATGAAGTTAATGCAAAACATTGCACACTAGATGGAGCATAGGTAATAACACCTAATCTAGTATTCCGTGGAATGTGTCTTGGATGGTCATTTAAATTGATCACCGTTAATTCTGTCGTATAATTTGTAACTTTTAGTAATACATGTGGCATCAAAATCACCGGATTATGTTGAAGTTATTGTTTTGGATGAAATATAACTGTATCAGCTGTTGAAATGGGAACTTGTGCTTCAATCTCACATTCTTGTCGTGGACCTAATATAACTGGACGAAGAAATTTAATATCAAAAGCAACATTTTCGGTATCTTCATCAAATGATATTGATACTGGATCAGATCTTGTTCTAATTCTAATCTTCTGACTGCTTTCTAAAATACATCACCTTGGTATTGTCGTATCCAATCGTTACCCAAAATAAAATCGATACATAGTGAATCCGCCACCAATGCCGTAACCCAGGTGGTTATATATTTAATTCTAACCTTCAGTTGTACTTCGCCAATAAAATGCATATTAGTCTTATTGGCTAATTGATAATAATAACTTTTTCTTGTGATTGGTGCATGATGAAGCTTTGATAAGGTGAATTGATTAATAATTGAATTGGTTGCTCCGGTATCCACCAAGGTTTTGATCATTTTTCCATTCACTGGAACTGTAATAAATGTTAAAGGTGATGGTTTTATATTGTGATTGTTGGAGCCACTACCACCATTACGTGACTCCATCACTGGTTTAAATATTGCGAACAATATCTGGCATAATGTCCACGCCGACCACATGTATAACATACTTGTTGTTGATCATGATATCGTGGACATGTGTTGAAATTAATATATTGCTGATTATTACTATTTGAGTTTTGTGGACAATTGTTTGTTGATGGTGAGGTATGAGCTGACTGCTGTTGTTGTTGTGAACGATCGACTGATGTTGTATTTGATTGTTGAACACCTTTTCTAGGCGACGTTTCTTGTATTATCGCTGTTGTTCCTAAGTCATTGAGCTGAACATTTGATAATCTGACTTGAATATGTTCATGTTGTTGCGTAATATCAAAAAATTGTTCTGGTGTTGTTATTTGTTGGTTTAATGCATAATGTTGCAATTCCGGTTTTAATCCACCTTGTGAATAGTCAATTCGTGATGAATCTGCCATACTGGAATCGTATTTATCACATAAATTCATTATGTCACGATAAAATCTTGAAATTGGTTCATTCCATGCTTGTTTACGCCCGGCTAATTGGCGTAATATTTCTCGGTCATTGGATGGTGGTATTACCGGAAATCTGTGTGATAGTAATTGGTAAATTACTATTGGTAAATTATTTGATAAGTCGATTGTTGAGACAGATTTTGTATTTAATATTGTTGTTGAAGAGGGAATTGCTTGTTCCAGTTTAATTAAATCATTATGATGATTAACACATGTTGGGTATTTCTCGACTATCATTTGTCTAAATGAATCCCAGTCATAAACTTGGTTTTTATTCTTAATATACCAACTTAATGCTACACCCTTTAAATACCATGCAGCTAATTTACTCCATTTACCTTGTGCATGGTCAGTTAAATCTAGTGCAACTTCCAGTTGGTCGATCCATGCTACCACATCTTCTTGCTTTGTACCATGAAAATCCTGAATTCTCTCTAATACATTTGGTATGTGTTGCTTACTTAATTACTTAAAATTGAGGTTAACGTAACTTTATCATCTGATCGTATTTTATCCTCATCTAAGATCGATGTTGTCCGAAATAAAGTGATAAATACATCGTTATTTATAGCAAAAAATCAAACATCTAAAATGAACAAAATGATGCAACTCTAAATTACACCAAGCTAGGATTATCTGAAAACCCATGACGTAATGAAAAGAGATTGAAATCCTATGAATGATGAAATAGTACTTAGAATACATAACTCTCACAGAAATAGGTAGGATGGTGAACTGTAGTGATGATGAGTTATATGTCGTGGCAAAATTTAAACTGGAAGATGATGCTCAAAATTGGTATCAAAAGAATCAAGATAAAATATGTGATTGGAAAACGTTTAACCAATTACTATCACACAGATTTCCGGTAATACCACCATCTAGTGACCGAGAAATATTACGCCAATTAGCCGGGCGTAGAATGACAACTTTTACAGCTATTTGGTCTAACGAGGGAACCCCTCGAAGTGATTAAACGCTTTTTGCTCGGAATCTAGTGGATTATAGGTTATCGACCATGCTGATTACGAATACGACCATGGGGCTTCCTCATAGCCCTTCGAAGATCTGGTTTTCTAGAAAACCAGATTTTCAAATACTTTAAAATATAACCCGAACCCTTCTTAATGAGGCATGATTGTAGTCCCCACATTTCTGATTAAAACGAGACATCTTCCAGCTTTGTACGACCTTTTTTTGCACAGTTATAGAATTTACAAAAAAAGCCCTAAATGTTCATTGTCAGCTCAAAGCTACAGAAATAAGAAAAAATTAATTTAGGACTTTTCTTGTAAATTCTATAACTGTGCAAAGAAAGGTCGTACAAAGCTGGAAGATGTCTCATTTTAATCAGAAATGCGCGGGCTACAATTATGTCTCATTAAGAAAGGTTCAGGTTATATTTTAGAGCTTTTGAAAAACTGGTTTTCTAGAAAACCAGGTCTTCGAAGAGCTATGAGGAAGCCCCATGAGCGTATTCGTAATCAGCATGGTCGATAACCTATAACCCACTAGATTCCGAGCAAAAAGCGTTTAATCACTTCGAGGTGTTCTCTCGTAAGTCAAAACAAGAAAGTGCTGAGAGAGCTACGGCGCATAAAGCTATTCGGACTAAGGGTTGATTTTCCCTCATGCCTTGTGTTACTTTTGCGTTACTTGTTACTAGTAATGCATAATATAGTAACGCTTTAGTCGCATTGTGTCCGAAAGGTGATAAAACAATACATTTACGGTTGTTCGTCACTCATACGGTGATATTTGAAAGCGTTGCTTTACTCAGTAAAGTAACGCATCAGTAAAGAAAATGTGCCACCCCTAGTATGCAACAACGTGGACATTAGGTGAAAAGATGAAAGTGAGATTTTTGGAACTTTGAACAGTGGTATATATGTATTAACCAAAGGCCAGTTTATTTGTGAAAACATTTTGGTTCTAGCGTTCATCATCTTCAAGAAAAGTAAGTCGTAAACTTAAAGCTGTTTTACGCTAGCTTAGTCAAAATTAATTTATCTGGTCAGATGATGCGATTTCTGAGAAATGAAATTAATGTATTCTGAAAGCTGAACTTTTGAGCTATCGATTGGTAAAAGCATTTTTATTTGGAAACCCATTCTGCCTGAGAAAATAAGTTTTTTTCTTAGAGTAAGCGTTTTCCCGAAACCTGTGCTCAGTAAAAGGAGTTTCCGACTTTTTCCGAATGCCCAGTCTTGATGAAACTTTCAGAAAATGTTCTTCTACATGCGACACAACTACACTGTTAGCGGAAAATAGGGAAATTTTTTTGATCCAAGATTTTGATTTTGCAAAAAACCTGGTATGCAAGGCAAACTGTCTAGATCTCTTTAGCAACAAACTGACTTTCGTTGGTAAAACTAACCAGGTGTGCCCAATTCAGTGAGTTGATTGTAAAGCTTTTGTCGAATCGCTTGAATCCGGCTGTACATTCTTTTAACATGTAATATCCATTCTCGATATAAATCTTCAGTATTGAACACTGTTGATACAATTTGTGCGCCATGTTCTGGTGGAGTTAAATAATTTCTGCACACGACTAATGCAATTTGAGAAAGAAATATCGGTACTGTGTCTGCGGAGTGGAAGCAAGCAATCAATTGACCAACACGCTGAGAGTAAACACCCAAGTTTTTCGAAAACGAGTGCGCAACAAATAATTCAAGATTTAATGTATCTGCAAAATATCGAACAGACCATGCATCTTCGTCTAGAAAACAGATACACATAATAGTAGTGGATTTCTTTTGTTAGAATTCGCATCATTACCTAAGTCCCCCGATGACAAAACCTTGGTATGCTAGATCGAAAAATGGAAATAAATGTTTTCGTTGAATAGTTTCAGCAATCTGCCGCCATTGTTCTTTAGTTGGATCACACCCAGTAGGATTGTGAGCACAGCCATGTAACAAGATGTCACTTTTGGCAGGTGCATCTTCTAAATCTTCTAGTAATCCATCAAAATCGATGTTGAAGGTTTTGTTATTCCAATATCGATATTCTCTAACTTCAAAACCAACTCCTTTCAATATCGGTTCATAATTAGCTAAGGAAGAGAAACAAAACATTACTAAATCCTCTTATACTACTATGCGTTCCAAAATACAAGACAGTCAGCCACTTTTTGAATAACTTTTGATAGGAATAAGATAGAGACCTGCGATTTTCGCTGTTCAATAGCCAAGACTTGAGCAGAACTTTCTACAAGCGG